AAATAGTAAACTTCTTTCAAATAGAAAAAAACTGTGGTTCTCCTTTGCATTACAATCATTATGCTGTGAATAACAGTTTCTGCCCTCTGTTTAACTGGGGAGAAGATTGAACTGTAGTTAATACTTGAAACTCAAGACACTCATCTCTCCCGGCGCATGAACTGAATCGACCACACGGAGAAACAGCCGTCTCCGCGTGATGCAAATACCTCACAAGACAACCAAAGAGACACAAACACACAGGTAAATCATTTAGTTTTATGCCATAAATATGAACAGGCTAATTAAAGCACAAAGGTTCCCTGTGATGTCACAAAATGAAAGACACACTCGTTCCTGCGTGTTGCAGAATTGTAGCAGATTTTACCTCCGTGCAAATATTTTTGACAAAATTAGCAACACAAAATTTTTGTTTCATAAGTTGGATTAAGTGACATTGGCGTAGATTTCTCGGAAATGGTAATGTGAAGTGTATTGTGTATTGTTGCTGAAGACTCGTGCATCTGGCTCACTGTATAGACCATAACTTACATTACATTTTTAGTACGATATTAAGGAGCGTTCATATCATTATTTTGTATTTTCACGAAAACAATAAGTTTCCACTTTGACTGAGAATGATGGCAAAAATAAGTTTTACATACCATCCAGTAAACCAGCTTGGCATAATAATTCTAATAATGCCATGATTTCAAAAGGCGTGGGAACGATAATGCTGAATAATCTGTCATAACAGCTTTACTATTAAATAAATTATTACGTTTAAACGCTCATTTAAAGAAAACATTTGCCAAAGGAAAAACGCACTAAAACATTTTGTAAACGTGTTTAAATGTTTTTTTAGCCCGTTTTAAAAGGTGTTTAAACACATTTTGGTCTGAAATGTGAATAAACGCGTTTTTCTCTTTTCACCTTTAACCACTTTTTCCAAAATAGGGTCACATATGTAAACATGTGAGACTTCAAATGAATTNATTCATTTATTGTTTAAAAATCCTGGTCTTGAATTTTATGAAAATCAGAGTCAGTCTTTAAAATTCATGAATAAAAATAGTCAATCCTAACTTACGTGTTGGCAATTCAGTGATCAGATTTCAAGTCACTCATCTGTGAAGATTTAGAAAATTGTGCTAATGTGTTGCAAAAGTAGAAGCGACTGTTCGAGTAAAGAAAGTGTTAAAAATGAAAACGTAATCAAAACATGTTTTCATCAAAAACACCTTTTTTCTGTTGTGCTTTAGATAATGTACACGGTTTATTTTAGCAAATTTTTCGGCCACTTTTTTAAACTTTTGATGTTAATACAGTAAAACGCAAGACCTTTCACAATCGCCTTGCGTGTAAAACTACAAATGTCTGTAATCTAATTACTATCATTTTGTTTATCATCTTCACGATTTGTCACGGTGCTGATAAATCAAAACTTGAATCAAACCTGCATTTTCTAAAATGAAAACCATGTTCACTTGAATGAAAACAAAAAACTCTTAAGGTCCAAAGTGTTTTATGTTTGTTTGAAACTGAATTAGTTTGATCAAAAAGTCTGAGTTAAAAATATCTGATCTTATCACGTTTCATGATGCCCGCCTGGCGCCTTGACAAGTCTGGAATGCTTCCTTTTTCTTTCCATTGGCATCCCTCCAGTTTTGTCAGTAAAATCCTTTCTGTAGTACCAAAGGAGTTCAGTTAATACCATTTTGGAGCTACCCTGATTGGCAAACATTTTTCTGCATTTTGTATCGCGGAAACAAGTTAGCTGTTCATAGCTGCTCAAAAATGGTAAAGATGTTTTTAGAAGTGAAGTTTTATAATGGTTTGGCTGTACAAACACAGACAGACTACAATTTTCAGACGTGTTGACATTTATGAATTTATGGTCTGGTTGCTGGTTTGTAAAAGGCTGGTTTATAAAATACTGTACATGTATTTTGAGACACGCTTCCTGAAAGATTTCACTGTCAACCAAAATGATCTGAACGTTTTTAATACTGAGCTATTATGATGGTGTTTTCTTTTTATCACACAGCAGAAAATCAGGTTGAATCAGAAATAGTGGACACCCAAGCAGCTGCGTCTGAATTTGCACCCTAAGAAAGGGAAAGAGCTGGGGACAGACCTCTTGACGATTCCAGTTCTCAATCCAATGTAAGAAATTTTATAAATTCTGTTTAAACAATGTGTTAAGCACTTAAAAAAGGATTTTTTTCTTCAGATTTCTAATGAGCAGCAATCCGCCTCCAGTGGCTCCCATTTAGCGACAACATCAGCAGCATCTCACCAGGTACGTGCGCAGTGTGGATTGAATCCACCATTAAGAAAGGGTGTGGTTGCTAGGGTTGAGGGGCCATGAATGACATTGTTTCGTTCTGTTACCCTTGTAAGATAACCCAAACCCATTTAGTGAAGATGACCACAAGACCCTCCTGACTTAGCTCTTTCAAGCCAGTGATGGTGTTGTCCATTCATACATTTGCCCTAGGGGCTGTCAAATTTCTAAGGA